CTACTACTACTACTAAGGGTCTCGGCTGGAGCACGGAAGGCGTCTGTGTAGGTTTCCTCTTGAGGGTTCATGGCTGGCAAGCTTTTTCTGTATTGCCTGTGTCACAGCGTCTGCTTGAATTTTGGAACACAGCTCTGGCCGCGCGGGTCCCAAATCCCGCGAGCTCCTGTCAATATGGCTGATCCAGATATTCCAGACAGGGAGTTTGACCCGAGGGTTGGGTGCGAGTCCAAGACGCACTCGGGAGCTGCACATAGTGTGGCGAAATCTTTTGGAGGGGATTCGACAACAGTTACTTTTGACTGGAAGCGAAAACGGGCGTATGCCCGAGCGTGTCGCCGGGCTGCCAAGGCGGGGGGCACACGCTATCGTGGGCGCTGGTGCACCTCCAGGGACCTACAAGGCCTTAGACAAGGTACCTTTTCTGAGCGGCCCAGGGCGGTTTCGACGCCTCCTCGGAGCACCACGCAGAGACAGCGCGTGGCCGAGCACCGCTTACGGATTCTCTCATATAACGTGGGGGGTGTTACATCGGAGCTCTACGACCTGTTTTGCCGGTGGCTCCGAGAACAACGAGAAGCAGACATCATCCTGCTACAGGAAATCCATCACGGTTTAGGCAGAGACGAGTCAACGTGGAGCATCCCTGGGTGGTCTTTCGTGGTGGCGCCAGATGCGCGGAACCGCCACAGTGGGGTGGCAGCTGTTATCTCGCATAAAGTCGCTGTGCCTGATAACATCTCGTTTTGTACGTGGTCTTCAGGGCGAGTGCTTCAGATTAGGTGTGAGGGAGACAAGGCTAGCTTGGATCTCTTTTGTGTTTATCAGTGGGTACGTAATGAAGCCTTTCCGGAGCACAGGGAGACGCAACGAGCACAGGTCTGGAATGCACTGAGCCGGGCGCTGCATACTGTCCCAGCACGCAACCTGCTGGTTGTAGGGGGTGATTTTAACACTGGGGTTGCTCCTGAACGCGGCCTGGTTGGGAAGGGTGTACATAGAATAAGTAGCAACAAGCAGGATGCGGAGTTCGCGGCACTCTTACAGACGCATAAGCTGTGCGCGCTTAATACTTGGGGCCCTGCACGTGCTTCCTTCTGTGCTACGTATGTTAACGGGCAGCAGTCCTCGCAAATTGATTTCCTCCTCACTCGACGGAATGCCGCTGATCAGGAGTCCCGTCGTGCCAAACCCACCGAACATAATATGGCCCCGTGGCATCATGGTCCTAGACACAAACCTGTCTTAGCTAGTATTCCTTGGGTTGCGGGATGGTGGCTTGCTAGGCATAAGATGCCTGTGCTTCGGTACGATAAAGCCGCTTTGCAACAAGCCGTAGCGCAAGGAGGCGAGGTAGCTATGACTTTCAAGTTGGAGGTGGAGCAAGTCGTCGCCGGGGCGGTGGGGCATCTCACGTTGCCACAGCTCAACAAGAGATTGCTGGCTAAGTGTCGACAGTTTTTCCCTGCCCGGCAGGTCAGGCGCGCCAGAGCAGGTGAACATGAACTGGTTGTGCATCGTATTCGGGAAATGTGGCAGTGGCACAAAGCTATGCGTCGGGTTCCTAGGCTAGGCCGCCGTAGAAACATCTGGCATGTGGTGGAGGCCTGGAAAAGGTATGCTAGATTTATGCGCTCCTGGCGTGCCCTGAGGCGGGCGAGCCGATTTGCACGGCGGCAGTGGCTGCAAACTCAAATCCAAAATGCTCAGGAGGCTGCAAACAGGCATGACTATCGCGCTGTGTATGCCGTGGTGCAAGCCATCGCTCCCAAACGCCGGCGTGAAGCAGTCAGGATCCGCGGCCCCCAGGGGCAATTACTTTCAAAGGCACAGCAGCTGCAAGAAGTCCATCAGTATTTCGCTGCGGCATTCTCAGCTTCCGCGTTTGAAGGCTACAGTAGCACCCATACTGATCCTGAGTTTACGCCACAGGAGGTTATCAAGGCTATACAGGCATTGAAACCGCGGAAAGCTGTGCCGGACGCCAGCGTGATGGCGGAGGTCTGGCAGCTCTCGCCGGGGGCTTTTGCCGACTTTTTCCTGCAACAGTTTTGTGACTGCATGCGCTCCACCAGCAGCTTGCCCAGTGCCATGACCGACTGTAGCCTTTCCTTACTTCCCAAGCCTGGTAAACCATCCAGAAGACCCCAGGACCTTAGGCCCCTCGGACTTCAGGATCCCTCCAGCAAGTTGCTAGCTAACCTGGTCAAGGGACGGCTGATGGAGATTGTCAAGCCATTCTTGATGTCAAAGCCGCAGTTTGCTTATGTCGAGGGCAGGTCGATTGACCAGGCGATTCACAGGGTCTTTCGCAGATGTTCTAGAATTCGGGATATGATGCGTAGTGGGATTCGGTCGGTTCAGGATAGGCGTGCGGGTTTAGGGGAGCATCCTTGCAGAGGAGGAGCAGTCTTGTCGATCGACCTCAGCCGAGCGTTCGACATGGTGCCGCGTTGGGCACTGTCGGCCTCGCTGCACAGTGCGTCTGTCCCGCAAGATCTTCACGACCTCATTCTTGACATTCACCAGGCATGCCGATATAGCGTCAAAATAGGAGAGCAAGAGCGTCATTTCCCGATGCAGCGCGGTATCAGACAAGGATGCTCCTTGTCGCCACTGTTGTTTGCCATTTTCACGGGGTGGCTTTATGATGAACTCTGTCTTCGCGTAGGCAAAGCATGGGCGGATGAGTTTATCACACTCTATGCAGACGATTCCCTGTTGCAGTGGCTGATACAAAACACAGCTGACCTCGAATATATGTGCAAATGTATTCGTGCCACCTTCAAACTCCTTAAGGAAACAGGCATGCAGGTCAATGCGGCGAAGTCACAGTTGATCATTCAACTCCAAGGCGCGACAGGCAAGCGCTGCCTCAAGGCACATCTGCATAGGGCCCAAGACGGTTTTACTGTTAGTGTGGGGACCCCGTCTGATCCTATCCATCTACCTCGAGTCAGCAGCTTTACCTACTTGGGGGTTACGGCGTCCCTTGGGAATTATGAAATGCAGACGTGTCGCCACCGTTTGCGTGCCGGCGCGCAAGTCCGGCATCGCCTCCTCAGGGTTCTTCATAGCGCTGGGTTACGACTTAGACAGCGTGCTGTACTGTATCAAGCCTGCGTGCGGAGTTCGATTCTGTATGGTTTGCATGCAGTAGGAGTGACACCAAGTGTACTACGGAAACTCGAGGCACAGGATGCCAAGGGCCTGCGTGGCATTGCAAAGAGCCCTGCACACCTCTGGCATGAGCACAGCCACGCCCTAAGGGTTCGAATGGGGGTTAAGTCAATTCGCCAAATGCTCGTAAAGTTGTATCTGGGTCGCAGTAAGCGCTGCTCTGATGTTGAGTGTAGCCAGTGGTTCCTTGAACAATGGTATTGGCTGCGTCAGACAGCGGAAATGCAGGCTGGCAGCTCCCATGGCATACGTAACGCAGCTTGTGTGAGGGCAGTCGCTTGCGAAAGGTGCGGACAGTACTTTACAAGCATGGGACAGGTTCGTAGACACATGAAAAGGGTCCATGGGGTCGAACCTGGGGCCGCCGAAGCCTCGCTGTCTAAATGGCACCAGCACATGGTAGACGGCATGCCGCATTGCAAGCATTGTGGAAAGCAGTTCACAAGGGTAGAGGGCTTTCGCAAGCATATCCGCCGGTCCTGTATAGTCCTCCATGGCCATCATTCCGGTTGCGTGGACAAGCCTGCAGAGGGGATGGAACCTTCTACGGGGGAGAGGCCGCAGGGGCATCCGTGCCGGGCCTCTCCTGCAGCACCGGAAGCCAAGCCACTCATTGAGCTGCCTGAATTTCGCGCACAGCTGCTCCCAAGCTGGAAACAGGTGCTTCATGATTCCGTTTACAGGCAGTCTTTGCGCACATATTGCGTCCTTTGCGGGCAATGGGTTTCAATGTCGGGACCCGGGGTCAAGCAACACATTCGGCTAATGCACCCTGAGGCATGGAAGCATAAGGACCGCGCCGCCTCAAGGTGCTCTAGCCTTGCTTTATCCGTAGCTGTCCCGTGCGCTTACTGTGGCATCAAGGTTCAGGACGTTCGCACGCATCACAAACGTTGTAGCGCAATCTTTCAGGCATCGCTTGCAGAAATCATTGCACGTGAGGACTATGGCTGCAGCGGAGCAGATGGAGATCGACCAGTCCCGGGATGCCCAGGCACAGCTTCGGGAGGTGCTGGGAAGTGCCACACCCTTCTCGGCTGGCGGTCCGGCACGAAAGTCGGAGAGGGACGAGGAGGAGGATCCCAAGGAGCCAGCGACGAAGTTTCACAGGGGCCAGCACAAGGGCATGTCTGGGAAAGGCTGGAAGGAGGCTCACGGCTCGGACAAGAATTGGTGGGGGAACTCCAGGAGCAGCCAGGAGGATCCCTGGGCGGAAGCGGCCAGCCGGAGCGGAGGCAAGCTCCCGGACCTGGCGACACAGCACCTCCTCCAAACGCTGGTCAAAATGGTGACCAGGCACGAGGAGGAATTGGCTCGCATCCGCATCGATACCAATTTCATGCTCTTCATGGACGTGATGTCGGAGGGGGTCTACGAGCTGATGAAACTGACAGCCGAGCAGTGGCACGAGAAGTTCACTGCCAAGAAAGTCACGGCCAGCCTACGGGTGATGTTGATGCTTGCTCTCCTTGGGGAGATCCAGGATCGTATGGTCAAGACAGTGGAGTCGGACGAGCAGCTGGCACGGTGTATCAACATCGGCTGGATGGCAGAGGGCTCCACTCGGCTGAATCCCGTCTATCGCTACTTCCGATGGAACCCGGACACGAAAGCCCAGGAGCAATGCGACACGCCACCGTTGACTCACACAGCCGCCTTAACCCATGTGCAGACGCTATACAGGAGATGGTGGTGCTGCCCAATGTCCTGACCCGTTTCAGGTCGACGCGGCCCCTGGCCAAGGATCCCAAGGGCGAAGTGGTGCCCTTCTTGTTGTCGCTCTCCCTGCGACAGACACAGGCGGGCCGATGCCACGAGGCTCTGATGGCGCTGTCGGGCTGTGCGTGCCTCAAGCTTGCGGGCCTCCGTCTGCGCCCGGATCGGGGTCAGAAGCAGCCCCTCATGAAGGAGCTGGAACAGGCATACCTTGCGGTTCCGTATACGGACTGGACGGCACGCGAGCAGACCTGGAATCGCAGCAACCAGTATGCGGACAAGCGTGCGGACAAGTCCAACCAGGCGGACGAAGAGCAGAAGTAGGCGGGGCTTGTGTTACGCACAACAGGGTTCCCGGCTACGCCTGTCACCCTCTTGGGCAATAGCGGTAATATCTGCTATCTCAACGCAGTTGCACAGGCAATAGCCTGGCTTGGGGCGTGTGCTGACAGGCCTAAGGACTGCTACGGAAAGGCCGCGGTGGCCTTGCAGAAAGCCATTGCCTCAGGTAAACACTTGCTTCCGGGTAGTCTGCCGTGGATGCCGATACTGAGCAACTGGCCACAGTTGCATCGGCAGCAGGATGCGGGATCTTTCTGTGCGCATCTGCTGGCTTATGCCTCGCCCCCGGGATTCGGCGGGGAATGGCAGGCTAGGCTGTCTAATCCTGACATGACCGTGGATTCAGGCCCGCTGCTTGCGCCACTTTCATTGGAGGTCCAAGGCCCGGATCTGCAGTCCGCAGTTGATGCATGGGCAACGCAGCACGCAGTGCATGGCCTGTACCTGCCCACGGGGGTGTTGGTTCTGCAACTTAAGCGGTATGAAAGGGTGGCTGAGGGTCTTCGGAAGTGCACGTCTCCTGTGACGTGCAGGCCGGGTGAGCGGATCGGCTTCCCGGTTTTTCTGGGCCCCACGGGGCTGGATACGCGCACTGAAACCTACCGCTTAATCAGCTGTGTCTTTCACACAGGCCATCAACTTGACTCGGGGCACTACCAGGCTGTACTCTGTGTACCCGCCGTCACAAAGACTGCTGCTTCATCCAGCCCCAAGCCTTGTACGCCGCTTTGGTCGTACCGAATTTGTGATGATAATCGCAAACCGCGACAGACGAGGCCTAAGGAGGTTAAGCACATTTCCGAGAATGTCTATCTTCTGGGTTTCTTGAGAGATCCAGGGGGGGCGTAGGCCGCATGGGCATTCGTGCCGGGCCGCGCCACCCTCGCTCTGTCGCGGTCTGCATGGGGCTCCTGGGCAGGATCATTCTCAGGTATACCTGCTTGCCGAAGCGCAACTGCATTGCTGCCCGCGACATAAAGCCCACAGCTCGTTTTCTTCCAGTTTGTTAATGACCTGCTAGTGGCACATGCCACTGCTTGTAAGCTTGCTTCCATTCTCATGCCTTTTCGCCTCAGAGAGGGTTGTTTTAGCCTGCGCGTCCTGGTCGTGCTGCGGCCGTGGCGCGGCCCTTGGTCTATTGCATGCCGTTTGCGTCTGCTTGCATCAGCAAATGTGTCTCAGCTGCGTGTGACGCTGCCGTTCGGGTCTAGCCGCTGGCTGTACGCCCATCCCGCCGCTACGTCCGGTTCCCTTTGCCCAGTAACCATGATAGAGAACGCCCTGGATGATTTGTGTCGTGAGCTCGCTCTGCCCGGGCACATCTATTATGACTCGCTGGAAGAAATGTTGTTGCTCAATGCGCTGCATAGCCTAGCCATGACTGTGGGGCGCAACGTGCCTCCAAGTCTGACGATGGCCTCAACGAATGAGTTGTGCTATATGGCCGGCCGACTCCTCCCGCCAGCGGAGCTGGAACAATTCCAGCAGTATGCCGCTGCGCTAGGGCGACACCTGCCGGGCACGGACAGTATCAGCTTTCCGCCGTTGCTGACGCCGCCTCAGGAGGAGATGCACGAGGCGGAGTTTGCCGCTGCCAATTATCTTCTGAACGGCTCTGGATCGCTTTGGTCTGCAGTACGACACGTGGTTAGCCTGCTGCCGTTTCGGGAAGTCAAAAGACAGCACCAGGAAAAACTGCAGCAGCAGTTCGCAGCCGGGGCTTATGGTCACAGAGGATTCGTTGGACTCTGCAAGCAGACGGAGCAGTTCGGCTCAGCCCTTCGCCTTATCAACATGTTGATCTGCAACAGCCACTCTGGTCATGTATGGACCACTGTGGTTATCACAGTCAACAATGTGGCGGGATTGCACGTTGACAAGCAGAATGCTCCATTCTGCAGCTTGGTGCTTGGATTATCTCATCACTGCCAAGGGCATATGTGGATTCAGAGCTCCCGAGGAATGCCCTGGACCGGGCCTGGTAGATCGCTGGCTGCTACGGGGCATCGACTGGATGTTTCCGCTCGGGCCTATCTGCTGCCCACGTTCAGCCATCCGCACTGCACGGAGCCCTCCACATTTGGGGATAGACTGGTCCTCATCGCCTATGTCATCGGACAATATGAGAGTTTGAGCCAGAAGCATGTCAGCAAGCTTCACGACCTCGGGTTCTGCCCGCCACGGGCGATTCCTGCAAGGGAGGTTAAGTCAAAGTCGGAGATAGAGGTGGTAGACTGAAAGATGGATGCTGCCACCTGCACCCTACCATCTCTTTGAAGATGCTTAGGCCTCTCCTTTTCTGCCGCCCCCTCCCTCCTTTGTCCCTTAGTGGTTCTTTTAGGTTTAGGTCACTGCGCGAAGGGGCGTGGTCGCATGGGCATTCGTGCCGGGCCCCCCCCCCGCAGCAATGGGGTTCACGCTGATGACTGGTTCAGCAAAAACGGAATTGCTCTGCAGTTGCTTGTGCCAGCGAGAGTCACACATGCCTTTGCCATTCTCCCCTTCCGTGCGTGGCGCTCAGGTGTCCGTGCATGTTCGGCGTTGCCCGTTTTCGCCTAGCGCTTCGGAGGCCAACCAGAGCTGTGACTGCACTGCTTTTTCACAACCACGGTCTTTGTCAGGACAACAGGGGCGAGGTGACGGTGTGGCTGACGGTGGTACTGGCTGGCTGCTTGGCCATACGTGGCGGGCCAGCGGAAAGGGCGGAAATGGCAATGGCTAGACGCACATGCAGGACTCCTGGATGCAATTTTCAGATTTTGGGGAGACGACATAGACATTGCTGTTCGTTATGCAATAGCTTAAATCCGGCCCAACACGGGGAACGCTGCTTGGCGCTGCAAAATCTGCTGGCGAATTCGGGACCACACGCCTGGACTCCAGGAGTTTGTCAAACTGCGCAATGTGGCCGAGAGGCCAATTGGGGATATCGTTCCTGTTGCTCTACTTGTTTTCGAACTGGAGGCCAAAGACACAGTAGCAGATGCCAGGCACATATTCGAACCGGAACGGCTGGTGGAATCGGTGGGACACACTATACTGGGCCAAGGCAGACTGATATCGGGGTGTGCTCCTCTGCTCACTCCGACACAGTCTTGGTGCAACCCAACGCCCGAGGCCATTATGGAGAAGCGGGGTCGGCGTCTGCATTGAGCAGTTCCTCACGCGCTCAGCCTGGGCCGGGGCAAGGGTATGCGGAGACCAATATGGCCATGATAGTGGTTGATCTCATTTCGGATGATGATGACGGAATGGATACCCATCCCGTGGATGCGGGCGACCACGTCGCTAGCACTGGAGCTGTGCCAATAGCCGTCGCTGGAGCATCACTACCCTTTTCCGGGATCGTACTCGATGAGATGGATTGAAGCTTTATTTTCCTTTATGAGTACAGTTGTTGTTCCCGTGGATGTGCCACAGTGCACAGCGGCCTCGAGCCGCCGGACATTAATGTCTGTCCCCATCGCCAGGCATCAGAAACGGTGCAGCGAGTGCAATACTACTACTACTACTACTACTACTAATGCTACTACTAGAATTTGTTGTTATAGGTATTCTTGGTCGTCGTCGGGTGCTGCTGGTGCTGGTTGTGGTGCTGGTGCTGGTGGTGGTGGTGCTGGTGGTGCAATTATTGCTGTTGTTATCCTTGCGTATAGTTAAGCTGACGACGACGATGATGAGGACAACAGGCTGCGAAAAATCGCTGATTGAGCCTCAACTTACCGTAAACTCTGAAAAATCCTATCTACTGCAAACCCCAAAATAGACAACGTAAAGCCACCGCCCTATTATTAAACATTTAAGTTGGGATGCTGGAGGTTCGTTCCCCCAAACCCTGGCTTGGTCTGGCCCTCCACTAATACGTCTGGCGAGGCGGCGGGGTGCAAAGACACGAAGGCCCTGGGCTCATTGGGCTTCTTAGGGCTTTGGGCTTGGGGGTACAGGGTTGGGTTTGAGGTTGAGGGCGGGCTTTGGGAGTTAAGGGCCTTTGAGGATGAGGGGCCCAGGAGTCTTGAGTCGCGCAAGGACCGCCAGGGCGTTCGACGCTCCCAACTTTTCCTTGTTTCAACGTACGTCAGTCGCTATTGCATCTGGTTACATGAGCCGCATCGCGCGTTCATCCGAATTCTTGGCATCTCATTATGCAAGGCTTCAAAGGTGCGGAGAGGAAGGCCAAGGCTGTCCACTGAACGCGGGTCGTGGCCGCGCTATGCAATCCTTCCTTTGACGTCTGTAGATGCACACAGAGTCATTGGCGGCTCCAAAGCTTCGAACTTTTGGGAAATGCCTGCGTCCACCGACTTTCCAGTCTGCACTCGCGACACAGGCCCGCAAAGCTACAAATAGATCCGGAAAGCAAGAAAATGGCTAAGTGGTCGCGGAGCTGCACACAGGCCCAGAACCCCGGATGCCCCAAAGCGCCCCCCCCCCCAGCTAAGCGCGAGAGGCCTCCACAAACCCGTACAAATTCCAATCCCCAGAGGCAGCCCCGAATACTCCTTCCCCAGTAGAAACCACTGTCGCTATGCAGCAAGACGCCCTACGTTCTAGATGCAAGGACACCCTCAAGACCCAGACTCCCACAAATCCTTCTAAGCCCTTGTCTGTGGCGATGAAAGCCCGGAAGGTAGACACCGACCACATCCTCCGCTGCCGGCATCTGAGAAGAAGGTCACACTTGCATGGGCCCGTAAAGAGAACCCAGGGCCTTAACTTTCCTAAACCCCTCACGAACCCCCCCCCGCCCTTTTGAGAAATCTCCCTTCTTGGCAGGATCTTGCCGGCCTTGCACCTGGAGCAGCTCTTTCAGGCAGGGCAGGGAAGGGCTCCGACGATTTCTTTGTTTTTTCTTAGGGGGTGGGTTGGGCGCTTTGGTTTTTTTTTGGGGTGTTTGAGATGTGAGGGCACACATTGCACACACATTCCGGTGGTGGGCTTGCAGCGTGGGGCCTGTCGTTCAGATGTGGTTTTCGGTTCTGCTGCAATCCAAAGGCCTCAAGAAATAAATACTGTACCTTGAAGCTGCCTCCGTGGGTTGGCGTCTGCCTGACAAGTCCGTGTGCCTTGTCTTGCGTTGCTCAAGAAAAATTTGCCAGCATGGCTAGATAAGGCTAATACGGCTTGTGGCATCGTTACGATGTCCATGGCGAAGAAGATGTCAGGATGCTGTCCATCGGTCGTCAAACTCAACTGCGTGCGAGAGCTTTCGAAACTAGTACTGCTAGCACCGGGACCTGTGTACTGTCCTGACAGGAGGATGGAGACTGCAACGTGTCGGAATCGGCTTCGTTCAACAAGGCAGGCGGCTCTCTCGCCAGGTCTGGATTTGGCTTTGTGGGTTGTGCATTTTGCAAGTGCTTGAGGCAACAAGAACCCCTGCTCAGACGTACGGGTAACCTCTCGACGCCAGCTACAGCAAACAATACCACCGGAAAGTCTTACGCCCCCCAGAAATGTCTGTTCTCCCTAGCTTCAACCTGCACAAGCTCCGCCAGTCTCTCCTTCCGTCGGAAATGCCGGGCGAATTCAAGCTTGCTGGGGCCTCGTTGTGAGGTTTGCAGACTTTCGATGGACAATGCCGCAATTTTGCATCCTATCGAACTGGTTGTGGAAGGGCAGCTCGGTTATCTCCAGTTTGTTCATGTAGATGACGTCGCGGCTACATTAAAATGGCATCGGCGGGAAATCCCACTTCCTCTTCCACACACTCCTAGAGCCCGAGCCTACGTCTCAGATTCGCTCCGAGCTGACGCCCGGCTTGCTGATGGCATCCCGGCTTTCGGCAGCGGTTTGGGCAGCGTTTCTGTGGTTTCCTGCTGGGTATTCCTGCTTTGAACTGGACGAGGGTTTCCTTCCGCTTCCGGCCCTGGCTCTGATGGCTTCAGGCTTGCACTCCGAAGCCGCTGCAGCGGTCCTCAGCAACCTCCCGCCGACGCGCGATCAACTTCCTGTGAGAGCTCGTTAGCGATCTTCGCATGTGCCGCGCATAGAGGCTTACTTGGAAGGCTCGCTTCGACATAGAAAGAGAAAGGAACATGTTTGAGCCGTCGCAGAGTGATTTAAGCGGGCTCTGCTCTTGGGCTTCCACAACGACTGGCGGCAAAAGTAGTCATGGCAGCGCTTGCCATGGTTTCACCACTGGGGCGGACGTTGCTCTGGCGTTGATTCGAGCCTGCGCCTAAAGTTCTCATGCCAAGGACTCGGCTTCACTGCCGGTCCCTTCTTGATCTGCTTTGCAGGGTTGCTGTTGAAGATCAAGAACCCAGGATGCTTCATGGGCCGAGAATCAGAGAATGGCACTCTACCCGCCGATATCAACCCATGAATCAGGAGCCGAAGCATGCATCACAGCCCAATATTCAATATCTTAAACCCACTATCATTGAGGGCCCGCCTTTTACGTGCTGATTGTACAAGATCTGCTCGAAAGCACCTCTCCAATGCCGCTATGCTCATGACTGCACAGGTGGCAGAGTTTGTCTTCTCCATGTGGCTCGGCCACAACCGAGCAAATCCTACGCTGGGCACCCAGCTGGGCCTCAAGGTTGACCTCGCGAAGCACTGGAAGATCAACTTCCGAACTTCCGGCATCCGCATCTCTGAGAAGTCAAACCCCGAAGACAATCCTGAACCACCCCGGCGAGCTCGCCCGCTTGCTGAAATCCGTTGTCCACCAAGCCCACAGCCCTACACCCAAAAGTCTCAACACTTAACCCCCAGCGCCGACCCCAACTCCGAGACCCCTGAAGCCTAAGACCTAAGTCCGCATGCTCTCCCCAGGCCCTGCGTCCTGTACCAGCTCGGTGCGTCCTGGGGGCCGGCTCGGGCCTGGATCCGGGGTGTAGGGTCGCTGCGCTTCTGTCGCAGCTGTCGACGCTCAGGCCCTGGCTCGTGGCCAGATCTGGCGACTGGTGACTCCAGTGATGCGAAGGGCTTGGAAGACTCGGTGGCGAGGAGTTCTGTTCTCTCTGTCCCGTGACGCTGCAGGCTCCATGCGAACTTGACCCATCTCCTCTTCAATGCTGCATCCTCGGAGGGTCTGCGGAGGCTTGGGTCGGTTTGGGGTGCGAAGCTCTTTGGAGGATCTTGGCCAGCGACATGACACTTTTTTTTGGCTGCTTGAGGCAGATTGGCAGTCTCGCCGCAACAGAATCGATCCTCTTGAGTGCAAAGATGGACATGCGGGCTCTGCCCAGCAGCAGCCAAGAGCCAAGCCGTCGAGCTGCAAACGCTTGCTT